CCCAATAATTACATCCAAATGTGGGTTAGTCCACATTTTAAATTTTTAAATAATTTTAATCAAACATTATTTTGGTGTTCTACAATTAAATTGTTGCTTTTCTTAAACCAACTTTGAGCAACCAAACAGCAAGTAACAATAAGATACAATATCATTTCATTATATTAAGTTTAGCTAATCGAAAGATATAAAAACACTTATAATGTAGCTAAAACTACTCTAAACCACCCTAAACCCCAAATATTCAAGGAAGAATCCATTACAAATCGAAATGTTGAAAAGCTTCAATGCCCATTACTGATTTGGTTAATTAAGAAGAAATCCAAATAAGCTATCCGATAATAAACAATTTAAAAAATCTATCAACACTCATTTTTAAAACAAATCCATCTTAATAACCTAAAAATAATTCAAAAAGAAAGAAATGTAGCTTTTTGATAGAAGGGTCAAGCCATTCATACCAACGAGCCTTACATTGCTTAGCAGATTTACGAACGAGTAAAGAAGAAATTCGAGCCCACTGATTCTTCCCATATTTCATAACCGCCGTTTTCAATATCTCGTCCTCCGTGTTCTTCCATACTCCTCCTTTTATCATGATCCTCATCTTCGCTCACTTGTTCTTGTTTCGCCTTGAAGGATTTAAATTGAAAGAAACAAATTACGAGCCCTAGCTTCTTGGATTCGCAACCACTGAATCTAAAAACCCTAGATTTTTTTTTTCTCTAAACGAGTGGAAAATGAAGTACAAGTCGGAATCGGAAGCAAGTGCAAACCAGCAACGGGATATGAATGTTATAATTGTTATTTGATCCCTTGAATTTTGCGTAATTAAAGTATGACCCTTTTGTATGGGCCGCCAACTTTTTGAATTGGAAATTTGGACAAATCTTAAAATAGTCTTCGGTTTTTTGTATCCCCGGTCCTTTCCAAATAATTAATTCTATGATATTTGTTGGGTCGGGTCGGGACGGGACGGGGTGGGTCGGTTTTTTGACAGCTTCGATTTTAATTTAAAATTAAAGATTTTCACTAGATTTAATCTACTTTAATATTTTATGGTATTTCATGCGTATTAAATTTTGGATAAAGCTCAACCCATTTGAATAAATTATTTTATTTAATGGAATAAGAAGATAATGAAATATATAAAGAGGGATCTTATAATAATTATCTCTAAATATAGAGAGAGAAACTATAGTAATTATCCATAAATATATAAAGATATATTATAGTAATTGTTTAGGTCAGGTCGAGTCAAAAACTTTGTACTTTAAACACAATTTTGTTTTTAAATCCAAATTAAAAAATAAATAAATATGATGCTGGGAATAAATGATCTGCGTAAGTCATTGACAATTAATTCCTTCTGATTTGAGTGAAGAATTATAGTCAATACGAAAACGACCGTTAATTGATTATTATTTATAACAATTGAAGAAGTTGTAAATGAGTAATGCTTTCTTGTATTCAAGAAGGATTACAGCCTGGTTTATATACAGCTATAAAGTTAATTGACTAACCAAAAAACTACTACTAACAAATTAGCTAATTGATAACAAACAAACTAACTACAAGCTGATAATTAATCGACTATAAGCTATAAAGATTACAAGTTGAAGTTGATATACTCTAATACCCCCCTCAAGCTGGATGTGTGTGTATGTTAAAGAGACGCAGCTTGACAATGAAAGCTCGATGTACGGGAGGTCGAAGTGTTTTGGTGAAGACGTCAGCCAATTGGTCTGAGGAACAGACATGAAACAACTTCAGAAAGCCTGCTTTCACCTTGTCTCGTACAAAATGACAATCAACTTCTATATGCTTTGTTCTCTACTGAAACACTTGATTACTTTCAAGATTGATTGCAACCTGATTATCGCAATATAATCTTGCAAAATCAATATCCATATGAAATGAAGAAAGCAAATAAACGATCCAAACTAATTCACATGTAGCCATGGTCATAGCTCGATATTCAGCCTCGCAGGAAGATCGGCTAACGACAACTTGTTTCTTTGATTTCCAGGATACCAAATTGTTACCAAGAAAGGCACAAAAACCAGTTGTGGAGCGTCTTGTATCGGGACAGGAACTATAGTCTGAGTCAACAAATATGCTCAAGTGATTGGTGGATTGAACTGGGGAAAACAAACCAAGACTAGGGGAACTTTTAATATATGCCAGAAGATGCTTTAAGGCAATCATATGAGGCAGGCGAGGTGAGGATACAAACTGGCTCAGCAAATGGACAGTATGGACAATATCTGGCCTAGTATTAGTCAAGTACAACAAACGGCCTATTAATTGACGATACTCATGAGGATCAGGAAGTAATTCTCCTTCATTTGCAATCAACTTCGAGGATAAAAGCATTGGTGATTCGGCTGGCTTGGTACCCAAACATCTTGTATCTGCTAGTAATTGTAATGCATATTTCCTATGGGATAGGATGATTCCAGAATTATTCCTAGCAATTTCAAAGCCTAGGAATTAACGCAGGGGCCCCAACTCCTTTAGTTTGAAGTGTTTTTGTAAAAGGTTTTGTATTTTATGTATAGCTTGGAGATCTTCCCCGACCAAAATGATGCCATCTACATAGACGAGAAGAACAATGAATCCACTGCCAGACCCTTGTAAACAAAGAATGTTCAAATGGAGATTATTGAAAACCAAGTTGAATAACAACGTTCGAGAATGCAATGAACCATTGTCTGGATGCTTGCTTCAGACCGTAAATAGATTTGTGAAGCTTGTAGACCATGTTAGATCCTTTGAGCTCAGACTTGTATCCGAGAGGTAGTTTCATATAAACTTCCTCATCTAATGTGCCATTTAGAAATGCATTGTTTACATCTAATTGTAACAAGTGTCAGTTGCTGCAAGGGAAAAAAGGACTCGAAATGAGGTTATTTTTGCAACAGGTAAAAAAGTGTCCATGTAGTCAATGCCTTCAACTTGTGTGAAGCCCTTAGCTACCAGTCTGGCTTTATACCGGTCAATCAAGCCATCAGCATTATACTTCACTCGATAGACCCATTTACAATCAACAACACTCTTTCCAGTGGGTAATGGAACAATGGTCCATGTTTCAAGCTCTTCCATGGCTAGATGTTCATCACTCATAGCATTTCTCCAAGTTGAAGACTTGACAGCTTAATGATAATAAGAGGGCTCAGCAACAGTCGAGATATTTGCAACAAATGCTCCATACTCAGTGGAAAGTTTTGAAGAAGAAACAAAACTTTTGATGGGATATAAACATTTTGAGGAAGCATTATTGCAATAATAATACTGAAGGTATGAAGGTTTCTGAATGGTGCGAGAGGAACATCGAACTGGTATTGAAATTTCATCAGTCGAGACAGTAGGTTCTGAAGAAACATCACCGTGTGATTCAGTATGCTCAAGAAAAGCATTATTATTTGAATCAGTAGAGCCCATGAGAGCATCACCAGTTAAGCTATTAGAGCCAAGAGAAGCTCCACCATTCGAGTCAGCATGTTCAAGAGGAATCTGTTGAATTTCATGCACGTGTGGAGTATTGAACGTGTCATTTACAACCTTTGGCAAGCAAAAATCCTGAAAAATGTCAACAGAATTGTCAGACAATCTTACATTTTGAAAAGGAAATAACCCTTCATGGAATACCACGTTTCTAGAAATAATAATCTTCGGACTTTGCAATATATAAACGCGATATCCCTTTACACCTGGAGGATATCCAAGAAATACCCCAGGTAAAGCTCGAGCTAAAAATTTATACGTTGAGACTTCAAAGTGGAAATAAAGAAAAGGCAACCAAAGGCTCGAAACCTGCTGTAATCTGGTAGATGACCATGTAAGACTTCATAAGGGGATTTGTTGTTCAAGGCAGGTGATGGAAGTTTATTGATTAGATATGTTGCAGTAAGTAAGCAATCGCCCCAAAATTTGATTAGCACATTTGACTGGAAATACAAAACACGAGCAACAACCAATAGATGTTGATGTTTTCTTTCAACGATAGAATTTTGTTGGAGTGTTTCCATGCATGAAAACTGATGCATTATACTCAAGTTACTGAACAATTCAGTGAATTTTAACTCAGGAGCATTATCAGACCTGAATGATTTTATGTCAATTTCGAATTGTTTCTTAACCATTGATATAAAGGCGGGTATAATGATGTTGACATCAGATTTATGTTGCAGCAAATAAACCCAGGTAGATCGTGAGAAATCATCAACCAAGGTTAGAAATGAAGCATGTCCATAATATGTTTTGTGCTTGTAAGGTCCCCATATATCACAATGAACTAACTCAAACAATCGTGTAGTATAAGAAGAAGATATTGGAAATGGCAACCGTTGTTGCTTGGCCAATGGGCAAACTTGACAAGATTCTTTCAACTTTACATTCTTTAAAAACAAAACATCCTTGAGAAGATGCATGACATGGAGACTAGGATGACCCAATCTGTTATGCCAGTTACTAGATAAACTACTAGACACATTATTACAAGAAATATTAGATTTGAATGAAGACATCTGCAACAAGTAAAGTCCTTGAACCAGCTCACCCTTCCCAATCACTCGATGAAGGTCCTGAATTAGGCAGTTTGTTTTACAAAACAGCACACTAAGGTCAGAGAATTTCAGCAATGCACTGACTGAAAGCAAATTGAATTAAAATTATGGAACAAACAACACATCATGCAAAACAAAATCAGATGAAAATCGAATTGTGCCTGCAAAACTGACTGGGATAATGGATCTATTAGGTAAGGTGACTGAGCAACTCGTTATAGGAAATAATGATTCAAAATTATTTCTTGAATGACATATATGTCTTGAAGCTCCCGAGTCCAAAATCCAGTAGTCAGATATTCCAACACCAGAAGCATTTATGTGTGATATGATCTTACCTTGCATGTCAGTATTGATCGAAGTAGCAAGAATATCCAATGATGATGCAGATTATAACTGGGAAGTGAGCATGGCAATCAATTGTTGACATTGCTAAGGAGTAAAGGCTTCAGTGACAGCAGGAGAGCTTTGCTGAGATACAACAGAGTTGGTATGAATGGCTTGAGAACTCTTACCACGTGAAGAAGTCGAAGGGGACCAATTCTTGGAATTGTAACCAGGTGGATAACCGATCAGTTTGTAACACCTGTCTTTTGTATGGCCAAGAATGTTACAATGGATGCACAAGGGTCTATTTTTGCGAGTATTAGTGCCAGGATGAGACTTAACAGCAAAGGTTGGCTCGGAAATAGGATGAGAAGATTGTATATTTCGTTGATTCTCTTCTTGAACAATCAAAGAGAAAACTTTTGAAATGGGAGGAAGGGGATCCATTAAAAGAATTTGTCCCCTTATATGAGCATAAGACTCATTTAACCCCATTAAGAATTGAATTACTTGTTCTTGTTGTTGTTTAGCAATCATGTGTTGCAGTCCTCCACAATTACATTGGAGGCAACTGCATAACTGTCAAATTGAAAACAGTTCATCCCAAACAATTTTCAACTGAGTATAGTAATTGCTTACAGACAATTTATCTTGCACGAGCTCGCATAAACGTTTCTTTAAGTGAAATAAACGTGGTCCATTTGCCTGCTGGAAACGATCAACCAAATCTTTCCATATCTCAGCAGCAGTTGTGTGATACAGCAAACTTGTAGCAATGTCTTTGGAGACTGAATTGATAAGCCAAGAATTGACCAAATTATTGGCTCTTGTACAGGCGTTGAACTGGTTTACCATAGAAGGATCAGGAGCTTGAATTGAACCATCAACAAATCCAAGCTTGTTCTTGGTAGATAAGGCAAGCATCATTGACCTTTTCCAGCTATGAAAATTATCATTGGAAAGCAACTGACTCATCAATATCATGTCAGGATTGTCAGACTGATGCAAGTAATAGGGATTTGCCCCATTGTTGAAACTATCATTCAATGGCTCAACCATGATGAAACGTGGGAGAAGTGAAACAAACTTCTGATACCATATAATAATCAAAGAAGCTGTAAATGAGTAATGCTTTAATGTATTCAAGAAGGATTACAGACTGGTTTATATACAGCTATAAAGTTAATTGACTAACAAAAAAACTACTACTAACAAATCAGCTAACTAACTGATAACAAACTAACTAACTACAAGCTGATAACAAACTAACTAACTACAAGCTGATAACTAATCGACTATAAGCTATAAAGATTACAAGTTGAAGTTGATATACTCTAATATTATTTTTTTGAAAAAGGGAGAAATGAGGTTAAAGAGTGCAAGAAGATTATTTGATCTCTCCCCCATTTTCAATATCTTCATTCACGTCAAAAATAACTTTTTTTTTTCTTTTGGGCTCTTTAACTTCCTTTCTCTCTTTCTCATATAAGAATAATCATTTTTTATTTTGTGCTCTTTAACTTCATTTCTCTCTTTCTCACATAAGAACATTGATTATGTGTATTTTTCATTGAGGGTTCATCTTTTTTTAATTCGAGCAAAGAATCCTAATTAATGAAAAAAATATTCGTTGATTGATGTTTCTTTGAGAGAAAATTCAGTTGGTCTAGTGGAATGAGATAATAGATTCCTTAAGCACTGTCAGAAGTTTGAATCCTAACAATAGTGGATGGAGTAAATTAGACTGAGAGGATCGTCCTTGCCTCTGCAATATTCGATCCTAGATAGGATGTTGGTGGCTATACCAAAAAAAAATCATTCCTACCGTTAGATGGAGATTTGTGAATCGCTCATCATGCCACAACAATTGAAGGAATCTCTATTATTGGGCTTAACTATTTTGTATAAGCTTATCCCTTATTTATGGACTTTATAATCTCAATTATCTTATAGCAAAAATAAAGAATTACAAAAGGGAAAAAAACTCTTGGTTTACTCGAATTCATGACCTCTAGGAACAAGAACAATTTATTTAACCATAGAGATAAATTGATCCGTGCATATAATAAAAGAATTTTAGTGTACATCATTTGGGATTAGCAAATAATAAATCCCATTACCTTAAAACCTCGGATTATGGATTATAATACGTATGTTTGGCGTGCTGCATAGGTGTACCTTGAGCATGCTGCATGATGCAAGCTTTTAGGTCATTACGTATGTCATTATGCTTCCAAGCAAATCATGCATTTCTTGTGATTTCAATGCATAATTAAAGCATTTATAGTAACACCGTCTGAAACGATAACTGTTGTATCATCTTCTCATCACTCTCGTATGATCATTTTTCGCACGTCCAGATCTTCAAAAATTTCTTTCGCAATAGAAATCTTGAAAGAACATCTTTGAAAAGAAAAAGGATCTTGTATCTCTCGAGAAACCACTATCTTTTGACGGAGCATATGATAGGATCATTTGATCTCAACTGACAGCTGACCACTTCAATTAAGTCGATCACTTTACGAGTAGTCATCATAACAACTATACACATAACACTATCACTAAGGGGTGTTTGGTTTGCGGAAAAAAATATATTTGTGTACTCGAGATTATAATAATAATATCTACAACAATATACTAATCCAAAATTCTGGAAAAAGTATTTCCATTAAAAGCAGTAAGTTTGAATTAACATAGAAATAACTAATAAATTCATATAATTTACACTAATTATCACATTTTAATAATTTTAATAGGTTGAAATTTTCATTTGAATTGAATTTAGATAAAAATTCAACTTAATGAAAATGACAAGTGAAGTATTTTTTTCGTGTTGTGTAATGAGAGAAGACATTGGGAGAACAATAACAAGTGATTAGTGGCGGCGGCATGACATATTTGATGTTGGATCTTTGATTCCACGTGGCAATCCATGGCGGATTCTCTTAGAAAGCATTTAATTTACAGAAGGTAAGATTTCTGGAATAAAAGCATTCCTTTGATAATGTAAGATTTCGTGAATCAAGCACAGTGAATACGTGTTTATTCATTTTAAAATTTGAATTTTCTTCGTTTAATTATATATTTTATCGATGATCTTTATCTTTAAATTTTACTTGTAGTCAATACATTTAAAACTTTTATATTATTAGCATATGCGTATATATTAAAAATAATTTTAGATATGTCACTATCAACGATTAGAACTTTTATATTTTAGCTTACGATTCTCATTTTTGTTTTTGTTTTTGTTTTATACGTATATAATTTATCATTATAATATTTTTATCCAAAATAATTCAAATTTAAAATACAATGTTATGTTCGATAATAACATTAATTTATAAAACTTTAATAAATAAGACAATAATAAATTAATTTTATATGAAGTTTTGATCACGCATAATTTAATTTTAAATAAAAAAATGTTTTATGTTTAATAATTAATACTTAATTTTTATTTGAATTATTATTATTATTATTATTTTAATTTTAATTTTAAATAAAAAAATGTTTTATGTTTAATAATTAATACTTAATTTTTATTTGAATTATTATTATTATTATTATTATTATTTTAATTTTTAAGATTAAATATTTATTAATTCTTATATATATATAGGGGGAATAAATATACTTGAACTCAATTTACCATATAAACTCACTTAATATAAAATCTAGATTTGTCACTGTTCATATTATATTTATATTATTTTTATATGAGATAATATTATAACTGGCACATGTACTTTAATAAAATATTTTAATGTGGTACATGTCCAATATTTAATATTGTACATATCTTTTAAAATGTATAATATGGTTCAATAATAAAAGGAATTATTGCTCTTTCTAAAGGTCTTTGATTTAAATAGTTGCGTCTATATGATGTTTGGTCAATTAATTAAGAAAGTTCTGAACATATAATACCTTGTAATCACTTAAGTTATTAAAAATTGTATAATACATAATTTGAACTTTAATAAAATCTATAATTTAGTATTTATACTTTTAAACTACTCAGTATGGTACATATATTCCGATAAAATATTCAATATAGTGTTTAAAATATAATTATATTTTATTATGGTTCTTGAGTTAATATTGTTAATAAGTATCGTATGTAAACAAGGATGAATCAGTCATCCCTCTAAAAATTTCAAATTATCATATATTTTAAATATTTTCTTTATATCTTTCATTGATAATTTATTTTCGCCTCCCATAAGATCTTATAAGTTCATCCTCTAACATAAAAGCATACATTTATAGTGTAAAAGTATCGAAATAGGGTTTTTTTTTCAAAATATAGATATTGAATGATACATTTTCAAAGTACAATTTTTATATTAAATATTTTTTAAACACATATATTATAATAAATATTTTAAAAATATATGTATGATACTAAGTATATATTAAATATATTATTATTACTTTTGTATTGTAGTTTATGTTAAAGATTTCTTTTAACAGCGTGGCATGATTCTTTGCTGGATATGCAACACATTGTCAAATTTCAATGGCATATCTCTAAATTGATTTGAAAAATAACGAACCTCCACTAATCCTTCTAAACTAAAAGGAATGTAATTTTTTAAGAAAAGAAAAGAAAAATATTTCAATAAATGAAAGAAAAATGTTTTTATTCAATATTATTCAAATATAACCTCCTATAAAATGAAAACCCTAGTCGAATTCTCCCTCCCCTCTCTTTTTTTTCTTTTCTTTATAATTTGTGTCATTTTTTATAGGTCAAATCAATTTTTTTTCTTTAATCTTGTTTAACTAGTTTAGGCACCGATTTTGATGTTGGTTGTCGACCGTCGGTTGTATTTTCTATTTATTTTTTTTAGTATTTTTAATAAGAATAAATCTGCTTTTTGTGACAATTTTATCTTTACCTTTTGGTAGTTTTCAATCGTTTGGCCGTTATTTTCGTTTATCTTTTTTCTCAAGGTTAGATTCGACATCGGCACGACTGATCAAGATGGCACTGGTTTATTTTTATTCTGATTTTCCTTACTTTGGACCCTCGGATTGATTTGGATACATGTTTTGCGTCCGTGGATAGTTTTCTCACGTCACTTGACTATGATTTACGATTTGTCGGTGATCTTTTAATAGTTTCATCCCTTTTGTGGTTCATTTGCAGATGTTGTCAGATAAGTTCGTATTTTTATTTTGTTCAAGTATTTTGGTTATGTTTTTTTAAAATTTTTCTTCTTTTGTCTTTTTGTGATATAGGTGGCTAGTTTTTATGTCAATAGTTATAAAAAATATTCTAATTATAATTTAGTTTACGTATATTCTTTGCTTTTTATTATTATTTTGGACCCAAATAAGTGGAAAAGAGTGTTTGCATTTTCCATATATTCGGCCTAAAATGTTAGCCAAAAAAATAAAATAAAAAAAAATATTAGTCACAAAAGATAGATATAAGAGCACAAATATTAAATATATAGTCCAAAAAGGGATAGTTCTGATGTGCGGCGGTTAAAAAGCAGTTAAAAATGGTGTGATCGGTCAAACAAGTGACCAGTTAAAATTTAGACCGGTTATGTTATATTATTTAACAGGAAATATTATCAAGTAAAATAACAAATTAGGTAACGCTTATATAATATAATAAGTAGCGCTTATATAATAAAATAGGTTAATTACTGGAAACATTATCAAACACAATAACATATTAGGTAGCGTTTATATAATGTAATATGTAGCGCTTATATAATAAAATAGGTTAATTACTAGAAATATTATCAAGTACAATAACATATTAGGTAGTGCTTATATAATGTAATAGGTAGCGCTTATATTGACCTATTCTATCATAAAACCGGTATATTTATACCTGTAACATTGCAAATTTACCTATTACATTATAATTATCGGTTTCGATGTTTTTGGGATCGATACAATTTTAAATGTATCGACACTTTATGCGTGCACCTCGTTGGGCATTCATTCTGAAAAAAAGTATCGACACAAACTTAAAACGTGTCGATACATTATGTAGAACTATTTTCTCATAAAACTAGTAAATTTCTACCGGGTAC